AGTATAATATAGCATAGTATATAATAATATAATAATATTAATAGTATAAATTAAAGAGATTAGATAAAATAAAAATAAAAAAAAACATAAGCATATAATAATTAATTAATTAATAATATTATTTTTAAATATTATTAAAAATATTTTTCTTCTATGTCAATAAATATCAATAATAAAGATGAAGTTATATTTTTAAAATTAATAGTATATTTAGTATATTAATATATTAATAGTGATCTAAAATAATGACAGTTAATATTCTAGATTAGCAATGATCAAGATAAATTTTAATATTAATATATATTACATGTTGTATAATAATGAATGATAAACTAAAATAAACAATTTGTATATATATATATATATATATATATATATTTTTTTTTTTTTAATTATAATCATGAAATTTTCAAAATATTTATTGTGTGTTAAACTATTAATTAACTATGAATCAAAATATTAACTAATAAATGTAATAAATATAAAGGTTAAAATCGAAAGATTATTAGCAAATGAAAATGGCGATAAACGAAGAGGTTAAAAGCTTAGAAAATTAAGAATTTAAGTATAAGCTGTCCCAAGTTGTGCATGCATTGCGTTTTTTAAAGAGAGGTAATTTTGAAAGGATTCTACCATCTAAATCGAGATAAGAAATTAGATGTTTTAGACATACTTTGGAAAATTACTTACGAATATACGTTTAATATTAATTTTTGAATTAAAAAGAACTTTATTTATTTAACATAAAAAATAATAACATATAATAATAATTGTATAATACAAAATAATAATTGTATAATACAAAAATCTTTTTAACTCGAAATGTATTCGATTCTGAATATCAATCAATAAAATTTATAGAAAAAGAAAAAACGCATATTGCGCATACTAATACTAATACTAATATTAAATATTAAAATAAAATTTTTTAAAGTACATGGAAAGCATTTTAAGATTTGTAATAAAAATACTTAAGATTTGTAATAAAAAACTTTACATAGTTTATGATATTCTTTTTTTTTTTTTTTTTTTCTTTAAACGCAATTTTCTGTCTGTTAGATCTAGCAAAGCGAGTCTCCGGAAGTGCGGTCCGTGTACTCACTCGTCTGATGAAACCTGAATATTTGATAACGTTGCATTACGTTAACAGCGTCGCTTATCTATTTTAATGGATTGTAAAGTAAATTGAAACATCCGACTTTATCTAAACTCGTTCCACGGAATGCTAAAGTTTGTATTAATACTAATTTTTCGACGCTGCGGTAAAACATTCATATTCGCTGAAACAAAAATCAATGAAAAAGAAAAGAAATTTTTTAAAGTGAAAAAAAATTAAAAGAAATTTTTTTCACGACGAATGTTAATTATTACGGATGAATATATTAATTATTTAAAATTGACATAGCGAAGAAATATTTCGATTTTTCACGTATTAATTTACAAAGCTGGTCACCAACCATTAGAATTTTTATTTTTGCAATAACGTTGCTAAAAATCCTATTTCATGCGTTGTTTTTCACGGATTTACCTTTACCCGGTTTCATTGCTAGAACTTTCCAGTCAATTGACTCCTGAGATGCAGCCTTTTGTCTCCTTTTGTCCCTTTGACCTACGTTCCCTTATTCGTTTTTTCGCTGATACACGAGAAGAAAAGCGAAGAAGTCAATTTCGAGAGGAACGATATTGCGATGAAAATGCATCAAAGTGCAAAGAATTTTTTTTCGCGTCATCAATTTTTCCTTCTTTTTCAAAAATTAGGAGAGAGTTTGAAATATTAATATATAAGTATATAAAGAGAGTGAAGACAACGAATTCGGATTAAGCTTTCGATGGGAAATTTTATTTCGAGAGGAGGTACGCGAATCGATCGATGGATAATGATCTCGTAACCGTTCATCGACGATGCACCACATTCTCTTATCTCGTAACAAACGTCCATCATTTAAAACAGCTAATAGCTAATAATAATAATAACAAAACTCTCTCTTTCCAATACCTCTAACGTGTTACGTTTCCCTTTCAAACGATTCGTTTTCGAGGAAGCAACGATTATCCCGTTCTTCCTTTCTTCATCATCGATCAAATCCCGGAAGAGGAAGAAAATTTCGAAACATCTTCCTCTCCCTCTAAAATCGCGATGCTCCGCGGAGAGTTGCTCGGTACGTCGATGATCTCATTTCAATCCCCCTGCGTTCCATCCACGTGCGTGAAAATGCGCGCGAATAAGGGAAGGAGCGTCTCTCCCGTCGTCGGGGTTCCCTTGGGCCCTTCCAATGGAGGATATTCCTCCTGGTGAATTTAGCCCGACACGAGATTCTTCTTTCCCTTCTCTTCGTCGCAGGAGACGACGAAGGACGAGCTTGCGCCTTGAGCTCGTTGTCTCTCGTCGTCGCGACGTGGGACGCGAAGAGAATGGCAAGAGAGAACAAGGATCGACGAGAAGGACGAGGACGAGGGACACCATCGCTCGTTCGTTCGGATGGATTGGAAGAGATCGCGAACAGAAAGTCTGCGAGTGGAAATCGCGCTGGCTGGTGGCGAGGAAAAGAAGAGAGAAAGAGAGAAAGAGAATAAATGTTGGAAAGGAAGTCGAAGGAGTGAAAAGGACGAAGAGATTGGGGAGGGAAGGAGGATGGAGGAGAGGGCGGAAAAAGGAGTATATGAAAAGGGGTGAAAGGTGGGGTGAAGGTGGAATAGGCGAGCTTTTTCGGCAGGCGCGCTCGCAGTGGCGTTGGAGAGGTAGGAGAGAGTGTAAGGAGAGCGCGAGGGAGAAGACAGGAGAGGCAGGAGAGGCAGGAGAGCCGGGAGAGACGGGAGAGATCGGAGGGGCGAGTGGTTCGCTCGGTGGGAGAAACAGGAGACCCGGGCAGTGCAAGCCGGGCAGCCTGCCCGACGATATCGTCGCTCTCGATATCGCGGTGATTCTACTTTTTTTTTTCCTTTCCCCCATCCTCCGTCAAGAGTCGGACTTGTTACGCCGCGAGTTTTCCTTTTCGCGTTCTAATAACGCGGGCATGCGCATCGTCTCTTTTTCCAGCCACCGAGAAACGCGTATATACAAGGCACATCTTGTACCTTGGAATTGATACACACGTATATAGAGACACGTATATACATATATATATCTATGTATGTATATATATATATATGTATATATATATATGTACGTTATACAGTGTACATACGCGTAGCAGGTACGAAAGTACGGAGTAGGACGAACGTGTGTTTCCGCGCGCACCGATAAGAAGACAGTCGAGAGACAGAGAGCAAAAGACACGCACGTTAGATCGCTACTTACTCGGCCACGTACGTTCGTGGAATATATACGGGAGCACGTGTATCCATCCGGAGGGGCAGCTGAAAGAACGCACGCACTTCCCCGCTCGGAAGTTTCCGCAGCTTTCAAGTAACAGGTTGGTCATTCCGCCACTTCTCTTAAAACCACTTTCGCGCCTTTCCATCCCTCCTCTTCGATCCACACCGCTTACACTCGGTTTCCTTTCCACCTCTCTCTTATATTCCAGCTCTTCTTATATTCTCCGAGATAAATCTATCTTGACTGTACGTTAATTACAAATTCGCGTGAAATTGATCAAGCAATTTTTTTCTATATATATTCGTTATTGAATGGCATTTCGATCGGTAATACCAACGATCCACGGAATAGACTGGAAATTGTTCAACGGAATGAAAACGTTTCCGCATGGATGTGATAATTGAAAATGGTTCGATGTGTGTTTTTCATCGTGCGGCCATTTGAATAGTGAAATCGATGTTAATCAATGGAGAATCGAGAGCCCTTCCCGTCTTTCCAAAGTTCACGTTTCGATCCCACGGAATGCGGTTTTCCGTGTGAACTATTACGCGTGCAACGCGTAATTTCCAAATGAAATTGATCCATCGTTTTAATCGCCCAATTTCCGCCCCTAATTTCCCCCAATTCCCAGGGAACGTTCCATTCTGTCCACGATCTCTCGTGCCTCCTATCGGCCCGGATCGCCTTCGCCATGGTTCGTACGTTCGAGCACGAGTTCGTTCCGACGAAAAATACATATCGCGAAATTACTGTGTGTTGTCGGACACACAGCAGGGAGATGGAAGACCGCGAGGGCGAAAGTGCATATTTATTTTTAATGTTAACGGGAGGGCACGTATGCGGGTGACGTGTCGCGTGCAATCAATGCGCGCGACGCGTGTAACAGGTCGTGTTGGCGAGTTAAATAAAGAATAAATTAATAATTCGCGAGTGGTTGTTCTTTTTTTTTATTTTTTTTTATTCGCAGTATTGATGAATATCAATGCACCTTGCACGATTTATAACGGTCACTTGAAATGGTCGGTAAAGATTTGCCATTAATCAGATATTTTGTCCGTTTTCAACGTGACGTTTATTAAAATATCGAATTATGTTCACGTAAACGACGAAACATAATTTATTGCATAATTTAGATTTATTTATTATCTATTATTGTAAAATGATAAATTTGTATAAAATCATTGTACATATCTCGAAACAAATATTCGACCATTTTATGATTCGATAGATTTATATTAGAATTTATAATGTTCGTCGCAATTTTATTCCAAGTGTATCTAGAGTGTCTAATGATCTGTGAACGATTTGGTGTATACAATGTAAAAGGCAGCTTTGTTCTTGATAAATGAAGTTCGGCATGTGATATGGATATTCGCAAACAGAATCGAACAGAGAGCTTTTCGCGATACATATCGTATGATACGGCAAGCGAAAATTTAATTTCTGATATATTTAAATGTGTAACATTAATTGAAAAAAATGCGTTGAAAAATAACACAAATTACGAATCAGGTGAAGATTATTTTGCAATCATATCGCGAATCTTTTTGATTTGGTAGCATAAACTTCCTGTTGGCCTATATTCATCCCTTGTTTTATATAAAATGAAACAGTTATTAAGATCCGCAAAGGATTATTTATTTTTATTGCTAAAAATTTTACTTCGTGCGTGCATTCGTTTCCTGTTATAATGTAAAATTTGTATCGAATTTTATTGGAAAAAAAAAGAAAAAAAATAACAACCAATTTAATCCCAATTAATTGGTCCAAAATACATCGACTCATCGAACATTATAAAATTACGAATTTCGAATACATCATTTTCTCAAATATTTTTCATTTAAACTATATAATGAAAAATTATCGAAATATTTATTATTCTAATTTCTTTCCTTTGCACTCGTTCGAGCGTGTTCCATTGCGTTACAAAATGTTTATTAATTACAACGAATAAAATATAACGAGGGAAAATAAAATGATAAAGGAAACGAACCAGGGGAGAAGCCAGGCGTAAAAAAAAAAAAAGATTATATTTCGATCAACTCGAAACAAAAAAATATCCTCGCCTTTATTTTTCGAATAAGAAATATAACCGAGAGAAGATCAGAGAGGCGCGTTATTACGTGGATTTACAATTTAATTAAATTATTCTTTTCGTAATTTTCCGCGCGTAATTTTTTCTTCGATTTTTATCGCCGATGGAAATCGCGTGCCGAGCTCGTCGCGCGTTAAGGGTCTGCTAGATTCCTCGGATGGAAATTTTTCCTTACGTTTTTATCGTCACGTAGGAAAGTTTACGGGCGGATACGCTCGAGATTAAGTTTCCGCGTTAGAATTTTTCGAAGCGAGATTCACCCCCTCGATCCGATTTAAATTTTCGATGCGGAGGAGCTTTCGAAACCGTTCACGGTATTATCTTTACCGATCAGCTTTTGTGTTTATGAAAATCGAATTATCCTCTCCACGCTTTCCCACGATTTACCACAATTCCATCGTTCCAAAATATTATTCCCTCCTTTCGTATTCTCTATTCGGCGTGTATGTATTTTTTTTATTCAAATTTATCAACTCGGCCGTATCACTCGGTGTATCACACACGACGTTTCCTCCCCCGATTTTTCTTATCTTATTTCGTTCTTATCTTATTCTACAGCGCGACCTTTTGTGTCGAACACTTTGCGAAAATAGATGCCAGATATTTCTGTGACGTTTCCTCGACTGGCGTGTATACGCTATAAAAATCTATAACACTGAATATAAGATACGCCTAAGGTAAGATATAAGATTTTCAACTTTCGTTAAAAATAACGAATTTATCAATTTATCAATAAAAGTAGAACGATTCAAAATCTCTATAATCCTACTTATCCGCTTATTAACCCAAGCTTATTACTAGGCAAAAAGTAAAGAGAAACTACGAGAAAATTACCCTTATATCCGTTATTTCTTGGCTATTTCGAGCACGGTTGAAAGAACGTGGCGAAATAAAAAAACGTAACTACGCGGCTAAAAAACGTAACACGGCGGTTTCGCAGAGGTTTCCTTTTTCATTTTTTTTTTTCGACCTCTCCGGGCCTCCGAAAACTCGGTGGCGAGTTAACGAGTGGTTGAAAAAGTATCGCGGAAACGCGGTAGGAGATTAGTCCTCGATTGTTGCACGAGGAGAGGCCTCCTTTCGAACGGATACGTGTAACGGAGTTTAGAGGGTGGTATAACTCGAACTTTACAATCTCGAAAACGCAAACTAATCCGGGAGGGCGGGAGTTTTCCGGCCGAAAGCAGAGCAAACGGTTTCCATTCCGCACTTCGCGGAATTTGTTCTCCCCTTTGCACGCGGGAGAACCTTCTTCGCGAGTCGAACGAATAAACAGTGCGCTGATTTCCCTTTTTTTCTTTTCTTTCTTTCGTCTAAAGAAGAAACTAAATTTTTCTGCGTAGGAGCAGACGAAACACTCGATGATCGACGATTTTCATATCGGGAGTGTAATCGACAAATTACAACAGATATGAGATAATCGGGCTTCGAGTTATTTGTTAAGTAATCGCGTGGAACGTTTCTATTATTCAAGAGCATCGAAGACAGGGATGACGAAAATTTTTAAGATCGTTACGTTATCGTCACATCACTGATGAGAGAATTGTCCTTTCCTCTCTCTCGATCTTTTTATCTTAGGTGATCGCCATGGTGGAACATTGGCGAATGATTTAGAAACATCGATGACAAGGATGGTGAAAAGAAGCGAGGAAAATTCATAAAATTCACAGACTGCATCGAGTCTTGGGGAGAGAATTACCCTTTTCTCTCTTGATTTCTTGATCGAAGAAATAGTGAAAAGGAGCGAGAAAAATTCGTAACGTTGACAGACGTTAAAAATCGTATGTAAAAAATTGAGGAGAGAATCGTTCTTTTCTCTTTTGCTAGATAATCGCGATGCAAATTGCAATGGAACGTTTTCCATTGTTGGCGAGCAATTTCCGCAAGAGCATCGATGAAATGAACAAGAAAGCTTGACAAGAAAAATGTTTAATATTCATATTATAAATCGTGGGTTATCGCTACATCCTTGCTTTCGAATCCATTAAAAATCATGAATTTTCGATCTCTTTGGTCGCCGCAGTGGAACGTTTCTATTGTCGAACGAACAATTCGGAAGCATCGATGACAAGGATGAAGGAAAATTCATTCACAAGTCGTGCACGAATCCGTGCCTCTGTGAAATCATCACCTTTCCTCTCTCGATTTCTTTGGCGGCGAAACGATTTTTATCGTTGGCCAGCAATTTTTCCAACAGCATCGATGACGGTGACAGTGAAAAGGATCGAGAAAAATTCGCAAAAATCGCGTATATAAACACGAGATTACGAGAATAAAGATACTCATTCCTTCTTTCCTCTTCTCCTTGCTTTTGCTGTATACGTAATCGCGATGCAAATTGCAGTGGAACGTTTTCCATTGTTGGCGAGCAATTTCTGCAAGAGCATCGATGACAGGTGACGGTGAATAAAGGAGCGAGAAAAATTCGCAAAAATCGCGTATATAAACACGAGATTACGAGAAGAAAGATACTCATTCCTTCTTTCCTCTTCCCCTTGCTTTTGCTGTATCCGTACTCGCGATGCAAATTGCAATGGAACGTTTTCCATTGTTGGCGAGCAATTTCTGCAAGAGCATCGATGACAGGTGACGGTGAATAAAGGAGCGAGAAACGAACGTATTCGTACGTATTCCCGCCCCGATTCTTCCTCACCCCCTTTCTTAATAATAAACTCCGCGGATGCCGCCTCTTTCATCGCCTCTTCCCTCACGATTTCTCTCCCCTCCCTTCGACTTCGAGAAATACTGAGGAGAGACCACAACTCTTGTCCTTTCTCCCCTCTTTTCTTCATCGCCTCCCGGAAATATCCACGTGATTCTACGTGTCCACCTCGTAGAATCGCTCCTTTGAAATCCAATCCCTCCCCTCTCCCCTATACATTCAGGATCCCGCGTGGGTGGACCCGAACACGATCCTTTCCAGTATTTTTAGCTCGAGTGAATGATTGGTTGGTCGACATTTGACCGGGCGCAGGCTATTCGTGGAACGTTTATACGCCGTT